TGAGCCGTCTGTTTATGATCTTAAATTCAGCTATTTTTAGAGTGTTTTTTGGCGTGTGTGTGTTTGTGCGTGTGTGTATGCGTGCGTGCGTGTGTGTGTGTGTGTGTGAATGTGTGTGTGTGTGTGTGTGTGTGTGTGTGTGTCTGTAATGTATCTATTGTAGGTATTTCTTAAAAGTGGTATTCCTTATCTATGGTCTTAATTTTTACCTCAATTTCGGTTATTGTATCTATGTGTTGATTTTAGCGATATTAGAAAATCAGACTTTGAAACTTCGTGGATAAATTGTTTTTCACGGAATAAATTTTACTATTTAGGCGTGCCATCGCCATCGATTGATAATCAAAATTATTTTTTAATCGAATTTAAGTAAAATTAGTAAAAAATTAATTTAGTGGGCTATTATGTCTCAATTTACCAAACGAAAGCATGTTTTCAAGGAAGTTCATGAAGAGTATGTTTTGCCAGATGAGAGAAATAGAATTGCAAAAGTTAGTGTAACGGTGGGGTGAAGTTGGAGAATGCTGGAATTCAATTTTAATCGTTATATTTGTAAGTAATGTAATATGAAGCATTTGCCTTTCCTAATTTGTCAGAATGGATCTTTTTTTACAATAAATTTATTAAAAATATTTAAAAATTTATTTTTTTAAATCATTTTAATTTAATCATTAAAATTTAATGAAATTAGTAATTAATTAAAATTTGAATTTGATATTAACCCTTTCATCAGGTGCTGGCGGCCAATTTAGGCAACAACTTGCACAGAGTACAGTTGGATGGCGGGGAGGTATTTCTGGCCAGCATGCCTAAAAAATTCAGAAATAATATCTACATCAAGAAAGGTTTACTTTACTACAAGATTAAATAAAAAAACTTAATCAAACAGTTTATTTATATTGATAATAATTTTATCATATTATTATATATTATTTATGTTTTTTAATTATATTATTATTATCATTTTGAATAATTATTATTACAATCCCCAGACGACTTTGTGCTAATTACCCCGATAGCAGAAGGGGATAAGGTCAAAGGGGAAATAGCCACCATTTTGTTAAAACCACAAATACGATATATAGCGGAGCAGAATTTATGGTTAGTCAGTTGGTGGATTGATTGAGCGTGGTTTTTGCATTTGGATGAATTATGAATTAGTTAACAAAACGAAGAAAGAATTAATGAATGAATGTGTTTCAGTGAAAAAATGAATGGATGAGTGAATCTAAAGTGAGTGAGAATGACTGAATTTGTTAGAGGCAAATACAAATTATGTGGTTAAGTGAATAAATGTGTGATTAGTTGGATGAGTGAGTGAGTGAGTGAGTGAATATGTGAGTAAATGAGTAAATTAATTATCAAAATTACCATCTCTTCATCATTTTGTAATTTTCCAGGCCAGATAGCTTCGAGTATCCTTACAAAACTACCTCCACACAACCATCGTCATCATCATCATCATCAACAACAACGTCACATATACCACGTGACATGCTCCCGCCAAGTGATGATGATGACGACGACGAGAATGATGATGATGATGATGATGATGATGACGACAAAGGCGGTGACGGAGATGATGAAGATAGCAGTAACAACGAGAGACTGAATGATGATTTCAAAGTCCTCAACATCAACAGACATCATCATCATCATCTTCACCATCATCATCATAACCATAGTAAACTTCTTAACGATGACGACGACGACGATGATGATGTTGCTGACGCTGATGATGGTAAATTCAAATTATCGTTGAGTAACTCTAACAATTATAATGATGATGACGACGATGATGAGAACTGTAATGGTAGAAATAATCTGGCTAGTTAATCAGCATTTTACAATATGTTGAACTCTTTTTTGCCTTGTCATGCTGTGTAAATAATTTAACATTTCGAACAGTTTGTCGTGATTTGTTTCATTTTGAAATATACTCTTGAGAAATATTTCCAATAAAAATGAATAAAAAAAATCGTAAATGAAAATACTCGTCCAAAATCGCTCAAAAACCGCCACCGAACTAACATACCGACGATTGTAGAAAAAAATACTCGTTCACATATTCGGTCCAGATAAGATCGAATCGGTAATGTAACATTAATGCCCGCTTTTAACGTGAGCTCCTGGTTTTAGATCCCATTACATCCAACGCGTAGATTTGTTCCTAGACTAGAGAGAGAGAGAGAGAGAGTCAGCGTGTGAGAGAGAGAGAGAGGAAGACACATACATACATAAGTACACACACATACATACGTACATATATACGTACTTACATACAAATTCCAATTTACATACGTAACGTGTAAAAATATGTGCAATGTGATGATCACATCATAAGCATGTTGTGTTTTTTTTCTCTTTCTCTTTGTCTCTCCCTTTCTCTCTCTCTTTCTTTCTTTCTTTCTCTCTCTCTCTCTCTCTCTCTCTCTCTCTCTCTCTCTCTCTCTCTCTCTCTCTCTCTCTCTCTCTCTCTCTCTAACGCCCTTTTAATCCCCGAATCAGACGGACGTAATTGCTTGTCAACAACAGCACATCTCTCTGACGTCATCGTCGTCACCATCATCTTAATGGTCATCATTTTCGTCATCATCAGCTTCTTCTTCGTCGTCATCATCACTGGTGTGGCACTGCTGAGATCTCAAATCAGAAGTCATTTGTTCGTATCTAAGGTGTTGGACTTTTCATTAAAAATGGAAATAAATCAAATTTCTCCTCATTATCACCATCATCTTCATCATCACCATCATCTTCATCATCATCTTCTTCTTCATCGTCACCATCTTCATCATCATCGTCGTCGTCGTCATCACCATCTTTGGGTTTCTATTTCTCCGTCATAGTCGTCATCATGGGATAGGTAAGCATATTGCACAAGCCTCTTTGCTTGGCTTGCTCGTTATACATACATGCATGCATGCATACATACATACATCCATACATGCATGCATGCATACATACATATATACATACATACATACATACATACATACATACATACATACATACATACATACATACATACCGATTTTATTCAGATGTTTGACTGTTTAGTGTCACTCATCGCTGATTTGGTTTTAACATACATACAAACATACATACATGCATACATACATACATACATACATACATACATACATACATACATACATACATACATACATACAGACACGCGTACATTGAGAAATGATTCTTTCAAACATTTTCATTTTCTAAGCAAGACGCTAAAGATGAGTGTCCAATAAATTTAATTTCAAATTTTTGATTCGATTGATTTGGAATTATTTTTCTCAAAATATTTCCGCTTTTTTCAATGGTTTAAATTTGGCGGGAATTGAAAATAACAACAATTGTTATTATTATTATAAAAGTTATTTTTATCTCTTCGGGTAAATCCAAAAAAAATCTTTTTAAATCGAAAATGTCTCATCCGAAAATTCCAGAACGCCCGCACTACAACAGCCAGCAGCAGCAACAACAACCACATCAACAAAATCGAAATTCTCCATTTGCTCAGAGCTCAAATTCAGCAGCAGCAACAACAACTCCAGCCACAACAACAGCCAACAATCCATCTTCAAATCGTCTTCAGTTTTCCTCTTCCGTTACGTCATCGAAACCCACTTCCGGTATAATTAATTTTGGCGCCAATTTCAGAGAGCATTTGGAAAACAGTCTCGAATCTATTGAAAATTTTGGCGGATTCAAGAAGTACTACCGCTCCGATAACGCTAACTTATCAGTGGATAGAGAGATGAATTTGGAAAAGAAGGCAGTTGAACTTGGGGTGAAGTTTTTCTTGGTAGCTTACAGCACGTTGAACTCTGACTGTAGGACCTGCTTGGTTCCCACTAGCAGTATTAACGAAGTCCAGGTCGGTCGGTCGGTTGGTTGATGGAAGGATTGATGACTGATTGATTGATTGATTGATTGATTGATTGATTGATTCATTATATTTATTCATCCGTTCATCAGCCATTCCATCCATCAAACCATCGCAGAAACACGGTTGCCATCTTGCGACGGCCATGTTTTTCAAGACGACGGGAGCAGATCCGGACATGTTTCTGGTTCCGGATCCAAAGACTTTCATCCAGCTACCATGGAAACCGGACTACGCCTGGGTCCAGGGGTGCGTTTTTAGTTTCATTTTATTTTTTATTTTTATTTTTTACTACAATTTAGTACTGTCTAGAAACCTCTATTTGACTGAATCATTCTATAACATTTAGATGCTATTTAAATAGTAACAACAACTCATCACACCACCACACCACCACCACACTCACCACCATTCATCATCATCATCAGGAACATGTTTCTAAACGGTCAGCCGGCCCCACAGTGTCCCCGAAGGGCCCTCATAAACATGATGGAGAGGGCAAAGAACAGTGGGCTTGTCATGATGTCTGGCATAGAACGTATGTTCTATTATACAAACACACACACACACACACACACACACACACACGTACATACATACATACATACACCCATGCTTACATAGGTACATTACAGACACACACACACACACGCACGCACACACACACACACGCCAAAAAACACTCCAATAGCTGAATTCACGATCCTAAATAAAGACGGCTCTGATGTTGGCGATAATATAGACTCCAGGCAGCCCATGTCTCTGCATGATCCCCTCTCTATAATGAGGCTCGCCCCTCTCCTCACCCAAATACATGACGTCATGAGTGCCATTGGCTGGAAACCCTATCAGGTGTGTGTGTGTGTGTGTTTGTTTGTGTGTGTGTATGTGTACGTGTTTGTTTGGGTGTGCGTGCGTGTGTGTATACATGTGTTTGTGTATGCGTGATGGCATTTTTAAAATTAGTAAAATGGATGAGATCTTCATTACCATCACCATCATTTTAATTACCATCACCATCATCATCATCACCAGCATCATCATCACCAACATCACCATCATCATCATAATCACCACCATAAATATCATCAACATCACATCACCAACACCATCATCACCATCATCATCACCAACATCACCATCATCATCATCATCACCACCATCACCATCATCATCATAATCACCAACATCACCATCATCATCATCACCGACATCATCATCATCACCGACATCATCATCATCATCATCACCGACGTCAGATCGATCACGAAGCCACAAAATGCCAGTACGAAATCAACTTCTCGTACGCCGATGCACTGACCACTGCCGACCGATTCTGCTTCATGAAGTTTATGATGAAGGTTATGATGACGATGATGACCATGGTGGTGGTGAAAATGATGGTGAAAAAGACGATGATGATGTTGGTGGTGGTGATAATGATGAAGAAGACGACGAAGACGACGATGGTGGTGATAATGATGATGAAGAAGAAGATGATGATGAAGACGATAATGATGACGATGGTGGTGGTGATAATGAAGATGATGATGATGAAGAAGATGATGATGATGATGGTAGAGTGATTGTGATACTGATTGTTTAAAAATCTCAGCAACTGGCCGAAGAGCATGGCTACAGGATCACATTCATGCCAGTTCCATTTGCCAATCTTCTGTGTTGTGAGTTTTTTTTTGGCGGAAAATCATCATCATCACCACCATCATTATCATCATCGTCACCATCAACATCATTAGCATCATCATCATCGTCGTCACCATCATTATCATAATCACATCTCAGCAAATGGCTTGCACATCAACGTGTCACTGTGGAATGAAAAAGAAAAAGTTAATCTATTCCCGGACGAGGCCGATGCTAAACTTGGGATTTCCAAGGTTCTATTTATAGAAACTGATAGTTTTGATGATGATGATGATCGTTTCCATCATCATCATCATTACCATCATCATCATCATCATTACCATCATCATCACCATAACCAGCTGGCCTACAACTTCATTGGTGGTTTGTTGTCTCATGTTGAAGAGTCTTGCGCCATTCTCTGCCCTACCGTCAACAGTTACAAGAGGTATGTATGTATGTATGTATGTATGTATGTTTGTATGTATGTATGTATGTATGTATGCATGCATGTATGTATGTATGTATGTATGTATGTATGTATGTATGTATGTATGTATGTATGTATGTATGTATGTATGTATGTATGTATGTCCAGACTTAATTTAGGTTCTTGGTGTCCAAATACCATAACCTGGGGAGGAAACAATAGGACCGTTCTTTTAAGGGTCCCCTGTGAAAATAGGTAATTATTATTATTATTATTATTTATCTTCTTTTTCTTCTTCTTCTTCATTTTCTTCCTCTTCTTCTCATTCTTCTTCTTCCTCTTCTTCCTCTTCTTCTTATTATTATTATTATTATTATTATCACCAGGGTGGAACACCGCTTGCCAGACGCATCCATCAATCCCCATCTAGCCCACGCCATCATCCTAGCTGCCGGATTGGACGGCATTGATAATGATGCCGGTAAGCTGATTGGTTGATTATGTGGCTGGTTGTTGATTGGCTGGTCGGCTGGCTGGTTGATTGGTTGGTTGATTGGTTGATCATTTTTATTACTAATTAAACCAACCAATCAACCAGCCAACCAACCAATCACTAATCTCAGATCCCGGGCCAATCATAGACTTCGAAGTTCATACCAGACCGAAAGAATTTAAAAATGTCCCCACAAGTTTGCTTGAAGCGCTAGATAAATTCCACGAAAGTGAATTTGCCCGAGAATGCCTTGGGGACGAGTTGGTCGAGGCTTTCGTTCACATGAAGAAGAAGGAATGGGCCATTTATGCGGCGCATTTTTGTGAGTGGGAGAGAGATTATTATATGAATTGCTGATTGGTCGCTGGTTGGTTGGCTGTTTTTTGATTGGCTGGTCGGATGGTTGGCTGTTTTTTGATTGGCTAGTTGATTGGTTGGTTGCCCGTTTTTTGATTGGCTGGCTTGGTTTGTTAAATGGTCGCTATTTGATTGGCTGGTTAGGGAATTGATTGATTGGCCATCTGGTTGATTGGTTGGTTGGTTGGTCGAACATCAAATAATGAATGTTTGATCAAATCCTGAATAGGTAATTTGATTTTTTGATTAATTTTACCAACTTGACACGCACAATTTTTAAAAAAATTGGTGTAATTTTTATGATAATTGAGAAGAAAAACAATTTTATTTAAATTTTTATTCTGAAAAATTGTAAAATTAAATAAAAAATGGAATATTAATTTCGTATTTAAGAACATTTTCTCAGTTTTTTCTTCAATTAACTAGACTAATGTTGTTGAAACGTTTTTTCGTTAAAATGAATGAGGGAATGAATGAGTGAATGAATGAATAAATGAATGAATGAATGAAATGAATAAATAGAATGAACGAACGAATGAATGGAATGAATGAATGAATTGTTGTTTGAATAAACGAATGAACGCCTTAATTAAGTATATATAAACATGTCAAAGTTGGTGTTTAATGATAATGAAAATGACATAAATATCCAATTGTTATATATATATATATATATATATCATACTCATATATATATATATGTATATATTTATATATATATATATTTTTTTATACTTTTATATGAAATGTTTTATATATGAATTTGTATCTTTGTATTTTTTATAACAATATAGAATATGTATATATATATATATACAGAGAGAGAAAGAAGGAGAAAAAGAGAGAGAGAGAAATTTATTGCTTAGTTAAAATCTAATTAAGCGCTTCAATTAAAAATATTTCAAATCATCAATAATTAATTATTTTCAGTTATGCGTTCATCTATCTATTTATGGACTAATTGTAAAGAAGATAGGAGAGGTAGAGAGAGATTGAGAGAGAGAGAGAGAAAGAAAGAAAAAGAGAGAGAGAGAGAGAGAGAGGAAGAATAGATTCACGCTTATATGTTACTGGACTTGGAATTTTGATATAGCTTTTTAATCAAGCCGTCAGATGATTTTTTGTCGTAAAAATTAAGTAGTTAAAGGCCAAGGATTTTATCAGGTTTTCTATTTTTATACAATTAAATAAATTAATGAATAGATGAATTAATTGAATAATTAGTTAATTAGGAAGATAAAATGAATCAATTGACCAATTGCTTTTTGGGCGGCTGTATAAGTAAATAAATGATCGAGCTCTGTACAAGTTTTGTGACGTTCGTTTGCTTTTTCATTCGTTCGTTCATTCATTCATTCAGTTGTTTGTTTAATTATCTAAGTATTCATGTAAACTTTGATTCTTTCATTAACTCATTCATTATTTAATCTTTCTCTCTTTTTTTCTCGCCCTCTCTCTATCTCTCTCTCTTTTGTTCTTTCTTTTGTTCTTTCTCTTTCTTCTCCATTCATTTTTTCCATATTCCTTATTTTCATCCTGAATGTTTAAGCCAAATCGCCAAAGAGCTTTGCGGTTTCCTTGAACGCCAATTTCCGCTTCCGGTTGTCTTCTTCTATTTGTAGTCTTTCCAATTTTTCCTGTTTCATTTCGGCTTCAAACTTACCTCCCTCCATCAGCAGTTCGATCTGGATTTGAAAGTTCAAAAGTTAATCGAGATGAAAACTTTGTTTTGATTATCAGTGCGTGTGTTGTGTGTGTGTGTTATGTGTGCGTGAGTGTGCATGTTTTGTGTGTGTATGTGTGTGTGTTGAGATGTAAACAGCCAAAATATCAACAACAACAACAATGTATAAATGTAAGATTCATCTCTATAAACATCTTGAACTATGATTGTTTGGAAGAATTTTTTTCTCTCAAAAGTCTTCCAGTAATTAGATCAAATGATACGCCTTGATAATAAAGGCTTTGAAATTATAATATTTCGTCTTTGGAATAGGAATAATCGACTTTGACATTGTAATATTTAACCTTGAAGAAAAAAACAATTGACCTTGAAATTATAATAATTAACCTTTGCTTCGAAGAAATGCTTTGCCCCTATAACGCCTTCAACATCTACATCGATTTCGGCCATCAAGCTGATTGGTTGGTTGGTCGGTTGATTGAATGAATGAATGATTGAGTGAATGAATGAATGAATGAATGAATGAATGAATGAATGAATGAATGAATGAATGAATGAATGAATGAATAAATGATTGACTGAATAGCTGGTTGGTTGATTGGTTTATAAATTAATCATCTCTTTGATTATATGAACATTTGTGAATGGTGCGATGTGAATTAAATGTTTTATTGGTAATAAAAATATTATTATTCATAATAATAATATTACCAATAATTATTATTATTTATAGTTTATTATTATTTATAATAATTGTTAATATTTATTAATTATTATCATTTAGTTATCTGATATTCGAATCGTATCTAACCGATAGATGTCTCGAAAGCCGCTACCGACCGGCAACTCGTCGTTTCTTGCCTTTCGGAATATCAGCAAGAACTGTACATGTGTGTGTGTGTGTGTTTGTGTGTGATGAAAGGGAGAGAGAGAGAGAGAGAGAGAGAGAGAGAGAGAGAGAGAGAGAGAGAAAGATAGAGAGAGAAATAGAACGAGAGAGAGAGAGAGAAAGAGAGAGTGATAATTTTATCATCTTCGTTATCGTAAATATTATATTCGCGACATTTTCTTGGATTCGTTTCTAGTTGAAAGACATCACAGACATCATAACCATAATCATCACTCCCATCATCATCATTATCACCACCCATCATCACCATCATTACTACACCCATCACCATCATCATCACCACCATCATCATCATAATCACCGTCACCTCCACTATCATAACATCACTATCATGACCTCTCTGAATGATATCATATCATCTTTAT